AATGGAAATAAGCACCTGTTTTACTTTTTTGGGGTTTTCTAGGTCCACTATAGCGGGATGTATATAATCTATTTAACTGTATTGTGTAACCTGAAAAACTTAGTAATTCATTCCATACACGGGAAACGGGCTAAAAACAAACCTTAAGCCGCACTGAACCTTACAAACCCAACAAAACTAAACCAAAAATTTTCTAATTGGAGCAATCCTGGCACCAGAACGGTTATACTTAAATTGTTAGAAAAAAGCTCCTTTTACGTTCAATCATTGATAAAGACATTGCCTTATCAAAACAACAAGTGACTTTCCTAAGCATCTTTATTTTTGGTAGTATGTTATTTTTTTGATCTCATTTTTAGAAATTTTAGATAGAAACCCGATTTTTATTAAAAAACAAGGGGGGGAAGCGCTAAACCCGGGGGATTTACGCGCCTGGGGGGGGGGGTGTGGAAGGCATTCAGGCTTAATTCGGGAACTGGGCACAATCCAATTCCCCCAAACAAAAGCCCCTCACCAAATCAAAAGGAACCCTTTCCCTTTAGGGGGATAGAACCAGAGCATTTATATACCCAAGCTTTAATATATTAGAAAGAAAAGTAAAAGGGGGATATATCAAAACAACCATTACATTTTTACTGTGGTTGTGGGGGTTTTCGTGATACATTTTCAGTACGTAATTCTTTTTTCCAAAAGGCCCCTTAAGTTATCACTTTATCTGACTTTTTGGGGAATCCAGGTAAATTTTCACATGTTAAGAGAACAAGTCGCATGGGGGTGAAAGATTTTTTCCACCTCAGGGCTTTTTCGCACTGTTTAAAATCGCCTGTTCACGTTTTTATTGTTTGGTACGGTCTAAAAAAAAAATTCACTATACTTACAAGAACCCAATGGAAAAACTAGACTTTACTGGGTCTTCAATTTTAAAACGGTAAGTTATCAATAATGTGTTTTTCCTGTAGCCTATGTCCTGATGCCAAATGACTTTTAAAAGGCAATAATGACATGCCCATGGCATCTGGGCCCCCGGTCCAGACTCGAAACCTGTGTTCATCAAAAGTTGCAAGAACCCCTATCACAGCTTTTAACACCTTAAAGGAGCGGGACACGGGGTCGTCCCACAGCTGCTGAAAACATCAGAATAGCCCCATTCCACAAAGGGGCAAAAAGCAATAGCAAAGAACTACAGACCAAGGGCTATTTCCCCTATCAAAAAATTTTAAAAAGGGCAAGAAGCAAGGGTGTTATTTTTTTATTATTTAAAACAAGGGGGAAACGCTAAAACCCGAGGATTATACAGGGCCTGGGGGGGGGGATGTGGAAGGCATCAGGTTAAATTCGGAACTGGAGCACAGACCAATTCCCCAAATCAAAAGCCCCTCACCAAAAAAACAAGGGAAACCCTTTCCCTTTGGGGGGAAGGCTGTAACCCTTTTGGGTTAGCACTTCTTTTTGATTTTAATAATATCAAGAAGCAAGATCACCATCCATCATTACACAACCCCGGGCAGCATGGGGTTTTGAGCAGGTCGTCCTTCTGTCCCAGCTCTGGCCCCTATGTAAGGGGGCCCGGGTGCTCAAAAAAACAAACAAAATACAGATGTAAATACACAGACTTTTCAAAACCTTTGACAATTGACCTAGGTAAAGCAAAAAATTCATGAAAAAATAACAGGAAAAGTTTGGGAAGGTCTATATTTTCCTCCAACAAATAGAAAAAACAAAGAGTATAGTAAAAAAATAAAGTCTGTGGCGGCTAAGTGAAAAAATCTGTTTCCCCAAGGAACAATATTCACTCCCCTCTTGTTCCCACCTCATATCTGACATAGACATAAAAACCCAGTGCTTGGGCTTCCTTTGCAAATGACCCCGAATTTGCATGAGTGCCTCCATTTAAGACACCGCAAGACTCCAGGCAGACATCAACCAAATCTTTTTAAAAGGGGTCAGAAAACAAATTAAATTCAAAGATGAAAATTTCAGTTATCCGATATGGAAAACTGAGGAAAAAAAAAGAAACGGGGGTAAAAAGAAAAACCAACCACCAATAAGCGAAAAAAATAATGTAAAAAGACGTGGGAGTGATCATGTCGGAAGATCTCCTCAAAGACCATAATATTTAACAGTCCAATGCAGAAAAATGACGAAAGGGTAAAGAAACCTTCAAAACAGGGGTGCCAAGCCCATGATGACACTCTTCAGGTCACTTGTTCTTTGGGCTGGAAATTGCTGCACACTAACCACCTTTCAAAAGAGGTGAAAATTTCTGACCTGGAAAATTACGAGAACCTTCACGGCATGCATAACAGAGAAAAAAACCCCAAATTTCGGGACACTTGAAATTTTTTGAAACCTTTCTCCCTGGAATGCAGGCAGAAGAGATACTATCATAAAACACCTTTAAAATCTTAGAGGGATTAGTACCAAACTTGCACACCAAAATCACGCCAAGAAACAAAAGACTTGCAGAAAAGATGCAACACCCCCAACGAAAAAACAGGGGGCCATTAGCACGATAAAGCAAAACAGTAAGGTCAGAGGCCCCCCCCCGACTGTTCAGCGCCTCCCTGCATACGTAAGGGGAAATACCCATAACCCTGGGTGTCTTCAAGAAGGTGCTGGACAGGCACCGAAGTCAGTACCTGACCAGCCTTGATTTCCCCCCGGGCCCCGGTCACAGACTGGGCCACGGAACATTGACCCCTGGAACCCTTTCCCCTTATACTTTAGGTATACTTGTACCCTTAAAAAAATTGTGCCAAATGCATTTTCTGAAATGTAATTTCAAATTAGTGACTGTTTTGAGCCTTGATTTATATCAAATTAATCTCTAGTATATTATAAGATAAAATACAAAAATTTTCAAAGTATAACAAATATAAGATTTGTATGGGTAATAAAAAATAAAAAAGTTTAATTTTAATTTATTTTTTTAATTAAAATCGTCAACAGAGTAAAGTCCGGGGAGCTACGGTGAAAACTCTGTTTTCCCAAGGGACAGTACTCCCCCCATCTTGCCCCATCCTCATATCCACATAGACAAGGATTCACCAAGCACCGTGTCTTCCTTTGCAGATAACCCGAATCTGCATGACATGCTTCCATTGCAGACACGCAAGGCTCCAGGGGGACATCAACCAAATCTTTCAGTGGGCTGCAAAAACAATATAAAATTCAACGATGAAAATTCAATTACCAAAAATGGGAAACATGAGGAAATTAAATCTTCATCGAGTACAAAAAAAAATTTTGGCCACAAAATAGAGCGAAACACCAACGTCAAAGACCTGGGGGTGATCATGTCGAAGGGTCTCACCTTCAAGGGGTTTAAAAGTACAAACCCCATCTGCTAGAAAAATGACAGATGGATAATGAGAACCTTTAAAAAATAGGGAGGGCCCAAACCCATGATGACACCTTCAGGGCACTGTTCTACTAGGCTGGAATATTGCTGCACACTAATCGAGAGTTTTATTCTCCAATAAACGCTGCCTTATTATTGGTGATTGCAGGCCACTGATAAAAGCATCCCTGATGGACTCTTCACAATACTGAGCAGCTGTCACTGATTGGAAGTGACAGTCCTTACCTAAAATTTTCAGTGCTTGAAAGTATTCCTCTAAGGACTCATCAATCTGCTGGCGGCGAGTTGCAAGGCGATAGCGTGCAAAGATTTCATTTGTAGGTTTAATATACTGAGACTTGAGGGTTTTGATAGCATCTTCGTAGGTATTACACTCAGAAATAGCCTCATATATCTTAGGTGACACAAAATTGATGAGCAGACTTAGTTTATCTAGATCTTCTTTAGGAAGGGCTCCCAAGAAGTTTTCGAAAGTCTTAAACCAGTGCTTCCATTCCTGAGCAGCCGTTGATAAGCTGGGGTCACAGTCTAGCCTCTCAGGTTTCAGTAAACGCTCCATGTTGTGATGTAGTCTAGCGCAGGATCACCACCAGGTAGCCATGGATTCTATGTTCAATAAATTGTTGTGATAGAAACACAGGCCTTATCTCTAGGCTTTATTGAACATAGAATCTTCATAGTACTTCTGCAACAACAAAATATAATGACTAGTACATCTAATAATGGCTTCTACAGGGATGGTGATGTCTTGCATATGTCAAGAGAAAAGTTATAACTACAGGCCACATATTTAAACTCACCATGTAATCTGCATCGCTGATAAATGGATAAAGTAGGAGAGAATCACACACCATGTGTTGGTGCCCATGACACACACCAAACTGTTGTTGTTGTTAAGGGCCCCTAGAGGTGGTGCAGTATTATCCTGCTGCTGCTCCCCACAGGACCAGTATCACTACACTATGCTTGTTGAGTCTGATAAAGACCCGTTGTGACCTCCTTAATAGTGTTTTTTTGAGCTACCTCTCACCTGCGCTGTTCAATCCCCGCGGGTTAAATCCCCGCCCGTACCATGGTTTGTTTGCAATCGTGTCATTACGATTTCTTGAGGCACAAATAAACTATTTGTATCTGCAAGGGGAATTCATTTACCTTTTTCTTTCATCATTGGGGTCAAGGACCCTAATGGAAACAAGTCACTTTGACTTTTTTTGGGGTTATCCTAGGTAATCTACACATTAGGTAATCTACACATACTTATGTGCCAGAAATGCACAGGATAACAAGGGGCTTTCTATATAGTAGTATGTCATTGATGTCAGCTATGGTCTGTATACCATGTGCATGTACTTGTAGTAAATAAAGATATTATTATTATTATTATTATATTATTATCTACGTAACTGTATTCATGTGCACCTGTACCTGAATAAACTTACTAATCGTCCAGCATCGGGCAATATATCCCAATGGAAATAAGTCACTCTGTTTGACTTTTTTGGGTTATCTTAGGTTCTCTACATATATGCTGCTATGTATGATAATCTATGTAACTGTATTTGTGTATACCTGAATAAACTTAGTAATTCATTCCATACACTGGGAAGCTGGGCTGGATACGACCTTAAGCCGTCACTGAACCTTACAAACCCAACAAAACGTAAACCAACAATTTTCTAATTGGAGCAATACATGGCACCAGAACTGGTTATATCTTATAAGTTGTTAAGAAAACGCTTCCTGTTACGTTCAAGTCATTGATAATGACATTGTCCTTTATCAGAATCAACAAGTGACTTTCCTAAGCATCGTTTATTTTTGGTATGTATGATTATTGTGTGTGATCTCACTTTAGAGAAATTTTAGATAGAACCAGATTATTATTATAATCAAGGGGGAAGCGCTAAACCCGGAGGATTATACAGCGCCTGGGGGGGGGGATGTGGAAGGCATTCAGGCTTAATTCGGGGAACTGGAGCACAGATCCAATTCCCTAAATCAAGAGCCCCTCACCAACATCAAGGAACCTTCCTTGAGGGGAGATAGAACCAGAGCAGTTTATATACCTAAGCTGTTAATATATTTAGAAAGAAAATGTAAAAGTGGTGATATATCAATACAACCATTACATTATGTACTGTGGTTGTGGGGTTAGTCGTGATACATTTTCAGTACGTATATTCTTTTTCCAATAAGGACCCCTGTGGAAGTTAGTCACTTTATCTGACTTTTTGGGCAATCCTAGGTAATTTACACATGTTATAGAGAACAAGTCGCATGGGGATGAAAGATTTCCATCCTCATGTGGCTTGTTCTGCACTGTTACGATCGCCTGTTCACGATTGTATTGTTTAGGTACTGGTACCTAAACAAACTTCTACTATACTTACAAGAGTCCCAATGGACAAAACTAGACTTTACTGGGTCTTCATATTTAAATCTGTGTAAGTTATCAATAATGTGTTCCTGTAGCCTATGTCCTGATGCCAAATGACTTTGAAAAGGCAATAAATGACATGCCCATGCACTCTGGCCCCAGGTCCAGACTCATGAAACTCTGTGTTCATCAAGAATTGCAAGAAGCCCCTATCACATGCTTTTAACATCCTATGGAAAGGGAGCGTGGACACGGGGGTCGTCCCACAGCTGCTGAAAGCATCAGACATAGCCCCATTCCACAAAGGGGGCAATAAAGCAATAGCAAAGAACTACAGACCGATAGGGCTATTGTCCCATATCATAAAAATCTTTGAAAGGGTTCTAAGAAGCAAGGCTGTATATTATTTATTATTATAATCAAGGGGAAGCGCTAAACCCGGAGGATTATACAGCGCCTGGGGGGGGGGGATGTGGAAGGCATTCAGGCTTAATTCGGGGAACTGGAGCACAGATCCAATTCCCTAAATCAAGAGCCCCTCACCAACATCAAGGAACCTTCCTTGAGGGGCAAGGCTGTATAGCCCTTGTGGCTTAGCACTTCTTTTTGATTATAATAATAATCTAAGAAGCAAGATCACCATCCATCAGTTACACAACCCAGGGCAGCATGGGTTTAGAGCAGGTCGCTCCTGTCTGTCCCAGCTACTGGACCACTATGATAAGGTCCTGGATGCTCTAAAAGACAAACAAAATACAGATGTAATATACACAGACTTTGCAAAACCTTTGACAAGTGTGACCATAGTGTAATAGCACACAAAATTCATGATAAAGAAATAACAGGAAAAGTTGGTAGATGGATCTATATTTTCCTCTAACAAATAGAACACAAAGAGTAGTAGTAAACAGAATAAAGTCTGTGGCGGCTACAGTGAAAAGCTCTGTTCCACAAGGAACAATATTCACTCCCATCTTGTTCCTCATCCTCATATCTGACATAGACAGTAATAAAAGCCACAGTGCTGTGTCTTCCTTTGCAAATGACACCCGAATTTGCATGAGTGTCCTCCATTGAAGACACCGCAAGACTCCAGGCAGACATCAACCAAATCTTTAAATGGGCTGCAGAAAACAATATGAAATTCAATGATGAGAAATTTCAGTTACTCCGATATGGAAAACGTGAGGAAATTAAAAGTATATCGGAGTATAAAAGAAATTCCAACCACACAATAGAGCGAAAAACTAATGTAAAAGACGTGGGAGTGATCATGTCGGAAGATCTCATCTTCAAAGACCATAATATTGTATCAGTCGCATATGCTAGAAAAATGACAGAATGGATAATGAGAACCTTCAAAACTAGGGATGCCAAGCCCATGATGACACTCTTCAGGTCACTTGTTCTATTGAGGCTGGAATATTGCTGCACACTAACCACCTTTCAAGAGAGGTGAAATTGCTGACCTGGAAAATGTACAGAGAACCTTCACGGCATGCATAACAGAGATAAAACACCTCAATTACTGGGAGCACTTGAAATTCTTGAACCTGTACTCCCTGGAATGCAGGCAGAAGAGATACATGATCATATACACCTTGAAAATCTTAGAGGGATTAGTACCAAACTTGCACACCAAAATCACTGCCTATGAAAGCAAAAGACTTGGCAGACGATGCAACATCCCCCCAACGAAAAGCAGGGGTGCCATTAGCACGATAAGAGACAACACAGTAAGTGTCAGAGGCCCAAGACTGTTCAGCTGCCTCCCTGCATACGTAAGGGGAAATACCTATAGACGCCTGGCTGTCTTCAAGAAGGTGCTGGACAGGCACCTGAAGTCAGTACCTGACCAGCCTTGATCCACCATGAGGCCTGGTCACAGACTGGGCCACAGGAACATTGACCCCTGGAACCCTCTCCAGGTATACTTCAGGTATATCTGTGTACCCTTAGAATAATTGTGCCAATATGCATTGCTTGAAATGTAATTGCATAATTAGTGACTGTTTTGAGCCTTGATTTATATCAAATTATATCTCTAGTATTATTATAAGATAAAATACAATAACTTGCAATGTATAACAATTATAAGTTATTTGTATGGCTAATAAGAAATAAAAAAGTTTAATTTTAATTTATTTTTTAATATTAAAATCGTCAACAGAGTAAAGTCCGAGGCAGCTACGGTGAAAAGCTCTGTTCCACAAGGCACAGTACTCGCTCCCATCTTGTTCCTCATCCTCATATCCGACATAGACAAGGATGTCAGCCACAGCACCGTGTCTTCCTTTGCAGATGACACCCGAATCTGCATGACAGTGTCTTCCATTGCAGACACTGCAAGGCTCCAGGTGGACATCAACCAAATCTTTCAGTGGGCTGCAGAAAACAATATGAAGTTCAACGATGAGAAATTTCAATTACTCAGATATGGTAAACATGAGGAAATTAAAACTTCATCAGAGTACAAAACAAATTCTGGCCACAAAATAGAGCGAAACACCAACGTCAAAGACCTGGGAGTGATCATGTCGAAGGATCTCACCTTCAAGGACGATAACATTGTATCAATCGCATCTGCTAGAAAAATGACAGGATGGATAATGAGAACCTTCAAAACTAGGGAGGCCAAGCCCATGATGACACTCTTCAGGTCACTTGTTCTATCTAGGCTGGAATATTGCTGCACACTAACAGCACCTTTCAAGGCAGGTGAAATTGCCGACCTAGAAAATGTACAGAGAACTTTCACGGCGCGCATAACAGAGATAAAACACCTCAATTACTGGGAGCGCTTGAGGTTCCTAAACCTGTATTCCCTGGAATGCAGGAGGGAGAGATACATGATTATATACACCTGGAAAATCCTAGAGGGACTAGTACCGAACTTGCACACGAAAATCACTCACTACGAAAGCAAAAGACTTGGCAGACGATGCAACATCCCCCCAATGAAAAGCAGGGGTGTCACTAGCACGTTAAGAGACCATACAATAAGTGTCAGGGGCCCGAGACTGTTCAACTGCCTCCCAGCACACATAAGGGGGATTACCGACAGACCCCTGGCAGTCTTCAAGCTGGCACTGGACAAGCACCTAAAGTCAGTTCCTGATCAGCCGGGCTGTGGCTCGTACGTTGGTTTGCGTGCAGCCAGCAGCAACAGTCTGGTTGATCAGGCTCTGATCCACCAGGAGGCCTGGTCACAGACCGGGCCACGGGGGCGTTGACCCCCGGAACTCTCTCCATGTAAACTCCAGGTAAACTAGGCACTCCTAAAGAATACCTAATTTATAAAGCTGCAGAAAGGAAGAAAATATTTTATTTTTTATTTTTAATCCAATTCTGTATGACATATTTGGCACTCTTTTAATATACACAAACAGCTACTTTGTCTTGTAATTTAAAGTTTCACATTTTTAATACAATCTTTAGTATACAGGGTTAATATTAACAGAATTCCCTGGTCCCAATTCAGAACTATTTCTTGATCGAAATAGTGTGAAATTGATATGGCTGTGCAGGAAACTCTCCTGCATATCTGTTATAAAAATTGGTATTTATCAACATATTAGTCATAATAATGCGCTAATATGACATATCCTGCTGGCATTTGGTCACAGGTTGTATCTTCATTACCAACTATGCATACTAATTCTGCCTCACTATCTTTTATCATTTAACATAACCCAGCCTAACCTAACTTAACCTAACCTAGACCTAACCTAACCTACCTAAACTAACCTAATCTAACCTAGAAGTGTAGGAAGTGACAGAGGCAGTGATGAAAGAGAGTGGGTAGTAGCACAAGGGTCAGTGTTGTTTGTGGTGAAGCAGTGACCAGTTCCTAGCCACCCTATGTTGTGAAATTGCTGTATACATTGCATTATTATTATGATTATGGCTGATATGTCTGTAATAACAATTTCCATAACAGATAATTGTGTTTCCTGCAGAACTACATTAGTTATGCATGATTTCGGTCAAGAAATAATGCTGAATCACGACCAGAAATTTTCTTAATATTGACTATATATGGTATGTATTACGTACTATTTGCTGAATATAACATTGTATCGATCGCATCTGCTAGAAAAATGACAGGATGGATAATGAGAACCTTCAAAACGAGGGATGCCAAGCCCATGATGACACTCTTCAGGTCACTTGTTCTATCTAGGCTGGAATATTGCTGCACACTAACAGCACCTTTCAAGGCAGGTGAAATTGCTGACCTAGAAAATGTACAGAGAACCTTCACGGCACGCATAACGGAGATAAAACACCTCAATTACTGGGAGCACTTGAGGTTCCTGAACCTGTATTCCCTGGAACGCAGGCGGGAGAGATACATGATTATATACACCTGGAAAATCCTAGAGGGACTAGTACCGAACTTGCACACGAAAATCACTCACTACGAAAGCAAAAGACTTGGCAGACGATGCAACATCCCCCCAATGAAAAGCAGGGGTGTCACTAGCACGTTAAGAGACCATACAATAAGTGTCAGGGGCCCGAGACTGTTCAACTGCCTCCCAGCATACATAAGGGGGATTACCAACAGACCCCTGGCAGTCTTCAAGCTGGCACTGGACAAGCACCTAAAGTCGGTTCCTGATCAGCCGGGCTGTGGCTCGTACGTTGGTTTGCGTGCAGCCAGCAGTAACAGCCTGGTTGATCAGGCTCTGATCCACCAGGAGGCCTGGTCACAGACCGGGCCGCGGGGGCGTTGACCCCTGGAACTCTCTCCAGGTAAACTCCAGGTAAACATATGTGTCATATAGATACAAACACTGGGGACCACACTGATAATAATCACATTATTTGACGTTGATATTCAGTGAGGACAAATTTCAGTTATTACGTCATGGAAATATTGAGGATGATGCTTTGGGGAATGGTGTTGATACTTTACCAGTAATAAGTTATGGTGGTACTGATGCTAGAACAGGTGCTGTAGATAGTGGGTGGGGTCAGGAAAAACTGAACCAGTAGGGAACCCAGCCACAAAAAATCATGGCAGACAGAAATCAAATCTGTGTAAATTCTATGCCTTGGGTATCTGTAGGCATGGAATATCTGGAAAAACAGGTGGGACGTGTAATTTTGACCATCTAAAAAAATGCCGTGACCTCATGACCAAAGGAGTACATATGCAATGCTTCTTGTAAACTATTTTACCCCAAAATGTGATATTCTTCAGTCCATGAAAGACAATGTTACAATACTTACTGTCAGGCACACCATTTAAAGGGGACAAGAAGGTACAGATCACACAGACCTTGGGAAGCATACCAGGGAAGTTACAACCACTTCAGAGAGAGATTTTTTTAGTGGCAGGAAATGACAGAAATACTACACCTCCTAGATCACTACTGGAGTGGAGGCACAGTCAGTGGCACCCATTCCAGACCAACAGATATTAGTGCCAGCAAATAAAGCTCCCCTACATACCATCAATGTGACAACATTTGTATTTGCCAATACAGTGGAACCTCTACTTATGAGTGCACCCATGTGCGAGTTTTTCCAGATACGAGCAGTTGCTCAGTCGATTTTTTGCTTCCAGACGCGAGCGAAATTTCCGGATGTGAGCGGGTCTCTAGGGAGGTTCCTTGACACTGGTGATGGGCTCTTGCTCTTGATCTAGGGAATTGCATTTCATTTGTTTGTTGGACTATCTTATTGAAACTTGGGCAATGTACGATGGAAAGATGCTTCTTAATGTACACCAAAATTTAAAGAAATTGGACTATAAATAATGGAATTCACTTCTCAGCCATTTGTCTCCCCTTAGTGGTATATTTTCGTATGGTTTTTATGGTTGCATTCTCATTTTTTTGGTCTCATTTGATAGAATGAAAGATATACTAGAGAAATTGATATGATTTTGATTGATTTCATGACAAAAAGTACCTTGAAATTGAGCTCAAAATAGCAGAAATGTTCAATTTTTGCTGACATTCAAGAGTAAACAATACCTGTCCGAGTGGCCATTCCAAATATACAGTCATGAATGTGTTGACATTATTTATACAATTATTACAATAATGCAGTAGTCTGCATAGCAGTAAATCTTCTATTTTAAATAGTACTATAATAATACTACATATAAGTGAGTTTGAGAACACCACGAGATGGCATTACGTGTATGAAAACAACACTCAGTTGGCGGTGGAGATAATTCTCGTGATTTACTTACATTTCATGCAGTTATTTTACAGAATTTCTTGTTCTAACCATGGGTCCTAAGAAAGCAAGTGCAAAGGACAGTGCTTAGAAGAAAAAAAGCCAAAAATCAGTGAATAGTGAAGTGACATAAGTTACAAAGTGTAGCATTAAGAGTGTAGCATTAAGAGTGTAGCATTAAGAGTGTAGCATTAAGAGTGTAGCATTAAGAGTGTACCATTAAGAGTGTACCATTAAGAGTGTAGCAATTAAGCGATAGAAAAACGACAGAATAAAATGAACTCATGACAGCATATGCAGCTGTGCCCAGCATCTCTTCTCCCTCATCACCCTTCGCCAGCATCCCTTCTCCACCATCAACCGCCAACATTTCTTCTCCAAGGTAAATTATTATTATTATTGTTTTCCTTATGAAATTACGTAATCTAATGCAGTTTGCCTTACAAACACACTGTTTTCTGTTATAATAAAAGCATGGGAAGGTATGTAGTCAGCAGGAATGGCCACTGTGGTGGCCCTATACACCCCAACAACAATGGCCACCACCTCCACTACCACTACTCACATATGTAATGACATATTTCATTCATTCTAGTGTATATATCATGCTTCTATGTTATTAATATTGTTTATTATGTAATATTAGATGAATTGTGATAGATAAATAAGCTGTAGAATTGATATTAGGGAAATATTGAAGCATTTTGCCATGCCTGGAATGCCACTGGAATGAATTAATTCCATTTCAGTTAATTTAAATGAGGAAAATTGACTCTACGAACGAGCAAATCCAGATGCGAGCAAGGTCATGGAATGGATTAAACTCGTAAGCAGAGGTTCCACTGTATACAGGGTTTAAAGCCATCAACAGACAATACAAATGCATTTCATCAGTGGATTGTTTATGGAGTCGGATGTAATGTTTGCAGCTTTCACAGAGACCCACATAAAGGATCACTTTGTCAACAAAATATGGATCCCAGGGTATAACTTATTTAGATGTGACAGAAAGAACAGGCAATAAGGGGGAAGGGGTTGGCCAGTATGTCACAGAATCACTCATTTGCTTGCAATTACTGAACACCACAAATCATGTAGTTGAAGTTTTGGCAGTACAGATTGAAAACCAAAACCTTGTCATTGACTCCTGTCTAGAAAATCTCCCAACCCCAGCCCCAAATATCTTGTTGCTGGGTGATTTCAACTTAAGACACCCAAAATGGAGGAATGTGGCAAATAATGCTTTAGCAGAGATAACCCCAGAGATAACACGAGCTATTAAATCTCTGCAACAAATTCACCTTAAGCCAGCAAACAGTGGATCCAACAAGACTGGAAAATACACTTGACCTTTTCTTCACTAATAATGATGATCTGGTACAAAATATAACAATATCAAAGACAATACACTCAGATGACAACATAACAGAAGTAAACATTTATACGCAGGACTCCTGACCAGCAAAATGAGATCAGTTATGAAGATGATTTCACCAAATTCAACTTCAGCAACAGAAACATATAGTGGTATCAAGTTAATCATGTCCTAAATGAAACAGACTGAGAAGATATCCTAAACAACACAGATCTGAAACTTTGCCTAGAAAGAATTAACTCTGTGGCACTTGAGGTATGCTCAAGGCACCTTCCCCTAAGCAAAAAGAAGAGAAGTACACTAGAGGTGCTCCTGCTACAGGCAAAGACAAAGAATCATAGAGCTGCTGAAAGGGGCCAGTATATCTGAAATACAGGAGGAGGCACTGGCCAGAGAAGTATGAAATATCAAACTTAAGCTTAAGGAATCATGCAGGAGCTAAGAAATTCAGGAAGAACTTAAAGCCATAAATGATATTGAAAAATCCCCCAAATATTTCTTTTCCTATGCCAAATCTAGGGCAAAAATCACATTCAGTATTGGGTCCCTGCTTAAACGAGATGGGACTTACACAGATGACAGCAAAGAAATGAATGAGATACCCCATCATGACTCGACATTTAGTTAGCTGTTAATTAGACTAAGGATCGACAATTTAAATGATATTTTTTATGGCTGAGACTCAAAATTTGGTTATTTCAAGAATTTCTGATATAATTGTAAACCAGAGGACTTCGAAAAAACAATAAATGACATGCCCATGCACTCTGCCCCAGGCTTGACTCGTGGAACACCATGTTCATCAAGAACTACAAGAAACCCCTTTCACGTGCCTTAGGTATTCTATGGAGAGGGAGCACAGACCTGGGTCATCCCACAGTCACTAAAAACAACGCATATAGCCCCCACTCTATAATGGTGGCAGTGAAGCATTGCAAAGAATTACAGACTGATAGCAGTAACGTCCCACATAAAATTCTTGGAAGGGGTTCTGAAAAGGAAGATCGCCAACCACTTAGACACACCCATCAATTGCACAATCCAGGGCAGCATGGGTTTAGAGCAGGTTGTTCCTGCCTCTCACAACTATTGTATCACTATGACATTATCTTGGATGCACTGAAGGACAAGCAAAATGCAGATGTATACACAGACTTTGTGAAAGCCTTCAACAAGTGCAATCATGCTGTAATAGCAGACTAAATGTGTGACTCAGGAATAACAAGAAAAGTTAGTAGATGGATCTATAACTTCCTAACAAATAGAACACAAATACTGTAGTAATAGTAAACAGTCAGAGGTGGCTACAACTCAAAGCTCTGTTCCACAAGGTACAGTACTCGCTCCCATCCTTATCCAAATCCTCATATCTGACAGATAGAGATGTAAGCCACAGTGTGTCATCCATCGAGGACACTGCAGATCTCCAAGCCAATAATGATTTTCTTCAAATCACTTGTTCTCTCTAGGCTGGAATATTGCTGTATACTAATGTATAGTCCTAAATCTCCACACAGAAATCACTCCCTACGAAAGCAAAAGACTCGGCAGCCAGTGGTACATCCCCTCAATAAAAAGCAGGTGCGCCATGAGTACGCTAAGAGACAACACAATAAATGTCAAGGGCCCAAAACTGTTCAACTGTGTCCCAGCATACATAAGAGGGATTACCAATAGACCCCTGGCTGTCTTCAAGAGGGAGCAGGACAGATACCTAAAGTCAGTACCTGACTAGCCAGGCTGTGGTTCATACTTCGGTTTGCATGCGGCCAGTAGTAACAGCCTGGACGATCAGGCCCTGATCCACTGCGAGGCCTAGTCATGAACTGGACTGCGGGGACGTTGACCCTCAGAGCACCCTCCAGGTATACTCCATATGTCACATTCAAGGAGCACAACAATGTTATTGCAACTGCAAGAAAAATGATTGGTTGGATAACTAGAACGTTCAAAACAAGAGATGCCAAACCACTCTTCAGGTCACTTGTTCTCTCAGTGCTAGAATGTTGCTCAATACTAACTGCCCCATTCAAGGCAGGCAAAATCAAAGAACTGGAAAACGTATAGAGAACCTTCACAGCTTGCATAAACTCAGTCAAGAACCTAAATTTCGAAGTCTTTGAAGTTGTACTCCTTAGGACATTCTGTAAGAAAGATACATAATGAGTTGAACCTGAAACATTCTAGAATTTATCTCAGACATGCACATCGAAATAACTGCATATGAACATAAGAGGCTTGGCAGGCGATGCAAAATTCCTCAAGTGAAAGGTAGGGAAGCAGTGAGTACGCTGAGAGAAATCAGTAAGTGTAGAGAGACCACGACTCAACACCCTTCATGCTTGAAAGATTACCAACAAACCTCTAGCTGTCTTCAAGAGAAAACTCGACAAGTGCCTGAAATCAGTTCCTGGTCAACCGGGCTGTAGTGCCTATGTCGGGCAGAGGACAGTAGGAACTAACAGCTAGATTAGTCGGGGCAGCAACCAGGAGACGTAGTCTGGGACTGGGACACGGGGGCGGTGACCTCCAGAAGGGACTCGAGGTACTCTCCAGACAACCATGTAACAGGTTTTCTCCTGACATTTTTTTTTTATTCTTTGGATGCTATATCCAAAGTGGTTAAATATAATTACCAGCAGTGTCTATTCATTGCCAGAAGGAAGACTTCTCAGGACGTTTACATACTATATTTTTTCACTATTCAAATTTGTTAGCTATATATTTTCAGAAGGCTTCTTTCATTTTGCTTGAAATGTAAATCACATATGTTCATGTTGCAATGCTTCCTGTTTAATATTTTTTTGTGTGTGGGGACTGAACTCTGGATATGGACTCTTCTGCTGCCTAACTATTTTTAAAAGGAGTTGAGCTCCAGCTTTTGAACTGCTACTTATCTTATGAGCCTGTTATTAAGCTGTTTCTTGATGAGGGTGAACTTCAGGCCCTGGGCTTCGTACTCATTGAGGATGGGGGGTTCTTCAACCTCATTGCCTCCCATTTCGCCAGGCACTACTGTTATACCGCTACGAGTTTTGCGCTCTCCATATATACAGTACGTGGCAGCAGTCATAATAATTACTGAATATAGGACACCACAAACATAGCTATGCTACTGTTGCTACAAATAAGTCATTTTAGTTACACAACTTAGTATCAATCAGACCTAGAAGCTGGAGATTAACCCCATCAAAAAACAGTTAGGCTAATAACAGACCCACAAGATGAGTAGCAAGTCCAAAAGGTTAGAGCCTAGCGAATGTAAACACAGCTAAGTAGGTAAATGCCAGACCCAGGAGTTGAATTTCAACCCCATCCAATGTGAAAAGCTGGCACTCAATCCATTTAAACAGACCTAGGCTAGAGTTCAACCCCTTTAATCGTAGCTAGGCATATACCAGACTCAGAAGCTAGAACACAACTAATTTTAACACATTGGACAGATTAGTACCAAGTCCGTGAGCTGGAGCTTATCCCCTTTCAAGGGGTGTGACCTCCATTGAGTGCTTCTTACATATGTTAGATGGAGTTATGTGACAGCTTCTGTGTTATTTATCAAAACTTAATATATACAGTACTCGGTGGTGAAATTGTATTCATCATGAAAACTAGGAAAATTTCCGCCGATGACGCATCACATGTGCGGAACTTTGTTCACTGACCAAGGTCTTCCGCTGCCATGGCCATCCACACCTTAAGAATTATTTTCTTATAGATATAATCATAGTCTTTCCATCTCCTTTAAGAAAGAGGATCACACATTAGTCTTAGGATACATACAGCTAATCTGTTTTGTCTATATAAGTTATTTTGTGCCATTAAGCTTGAACTACAGTGAATAGGAGTTCAAATATCAACTTCAAAATTATCCAGATGTACTCCTGTTAACCATTTTGGGGCCTAGTTCCTAGGCCTTTTGTCTATCCATATGTTCTTGCGCTACCATCCACAGGATGGATATGAGGTGCATAATAAACTATGTAAAGTAAAAGGACACAAGTGCAACT